TAGTTTGAACCCCACCAGCACTCCTCAGGAGAAAGATGAAATGTTCTATTCCGCTAAAGAGTTACAGTCTTGGAAACCCAAAGGGAACGTTCTACCCCGTCCGACAGGGTTACTGTTGAGTCAGAATTGACTCAATGGCAGTGAGAGTGAGATTATTAAAGGAACCCAGGTGATGCAGTGGGTTATACATTGACGTGCTAACCACGAAGTCAGAAGTTCAAACTCATCAGACACTCCTTTGGAGAAAGATGAGGCTTTCTGCTTCTGCAAAGATTTACAGCCTCGGAAACCCTAAGAAGCCCTTCTACTCTGTCCTACAAGGTCCCTAAGAGTCAGAATGGACTCTGTTGGGCTTTTGCTATTGTTGCCGCTAACCTTTTCATTCACCTAAAGCAGTTTATGGGAATAACCATGCAATCCACATTCGATTCTTTTGGGGGGGACTGGTAATTAGCATTGAGAAGCACTGAACGTTCATCAACACTCTAGACGGCCTTACAAACAAAACAGATTCACAAAAGATAGGATGTAAATTGCACAATTCTTAACATGGTTGAAATTGTATATATAAATTATATGCCAATCAAACGATCTTTTCTTTAAAAAAAAAGATACATTGTAACAGGATCAGGACAAGGAAGCACACCAGTAAGGAAGCATTCTACAACTGATGAAGACGGAAGGATTATTAGAGGCATTATTCAATTCCATCAGGCAACAAAGTGATTGTTCTATCAAATGAACAGACATTTCTCCCTTCTTTATTTCTTCCTTTGCTTATTTTAAAATGACAGGGATCGTAGGATCCTGTAAATTAAATACCCTTTTAAGTGACTGGCAGAAAGTCAGGGAAAGGGCCTGAAAGAGCTGCAGGACACAGTGGCTGCCACCAGGGGCACACACTGGGGAAGCCGTGCAGAGCCCCGCGCTTTCTATCTGCTCCACCCGGGGGCCGGGGTCCACTGGAACCTAACCACCTCAGCACAAGTGACGGACAGTAGTCTTCAGGGTCCATCTTCCTTCTTTCCTTCCTCCCAGCTTCCCAGGCCGCAGTCCAGCCCCGTCTCCCTCATCCCTTCCCCCTGCACTCGCCACCCCCTCCCCTTCCAGCGCTCCCTTCCTTGAACTTTCCCTGTTCCTGTTCCGTGACCTAAAGTTTCAGACCCACACAGAGGTAGAGGGAACAGGGTGGTGGACGTCCCTGCACCCATCACAAACAGCAGCTTCAGCTCTTACTAGACCACTGACGTTGCTTCATCTAAGGAGCCTGCTGGTTTGCTGCAGCTCAGGGAGAGAAACTGGAGCCCTCTGCTCCTGGGAAGATTCAACGCCACGGAAACCCACGTGGAGGCTCTATGAGCAGGACTCTCCAGAGGGTAGTAGGTAGTATTCGTTCATCTACGCCCCCCAACAAACCCTGTCAACACTGTGCTGCTAGAGAATATTAAGGTAAATTCCAGACATCATCTCTCCCGAAAATATTTCCCAAATGAAGTCTATTTAACAGATAAGTACACTTAAACAACCAACCAAGCAATCAAACAAAAAAACGTCACCACAATGCTATTGTTATATCTAACAAAATAAGCATTCCTTAACATTTTTTGGAAACATTTCTGATTTTTGAAAGCTTTTTATTGTGAATGGAGTGAAGGCTTAGAGAACAAATTGGTTTTCCGAGCCAACCATTCGTTGACACTTGTTTCATGTCATGGATTGTAATCCCCACAATGCAGCATCACCGATCCCACTTACTCCTCGCGGTCTGCCTTCCACTCTTCCTGCGTTCCTAACACTCAAAGTCAGGGGTTCTCAACCTTTCTCAGGCCGTGGACCTTTCATGCAGTGCCTCATGTGGTGGTAACCCCCCAACCATAAAATGATTTTCATCGCTACTTCATAACTGTAGTTTTGCTACGGTTATGAGTCGTCATGTAAACATCTGATATGCAGGGTGTATGGTCACTGTTACAAATCGAACATAATGAAACATAATTAAAGCACAGTGATTAATCACAAACAATATGGAATTCTATATTGTGAACTATTTGTGTTTTCTAATGGTCTTAGGCAACTCCCCAAGGGGCTGCAACCCACAGGTTGAGAACCTCTGCTCTAAGCTTTGTCCTTGGGTCAGGACTGTCCTTTAGATCACCATGTGGATGGCTCTGAATTGTGCGGCCTCCCCAAAGCCACTGCTCCCTTTATAGGCCTGCGTTTGGCAAACAGTGGAACCACACTCATTTCTTTCTTTTATTTGACATACCTTACACAATCCAATATAGCCATTCATGTACAATTCTGTTGTTCAACCCCATTGAGTGAAGTGATACAATCCTCAATGCTATCAGCTTCCCATTTACCCCCTTCACACTCATTTCTTAATATTAAAAACACACCTCCTTAGTGATTTGCTAATATGCCATGAAAGATATCATGTTCACCTTGGGCTGTGACTACTTGTGGTTTTTCTACCAAATCCCAGAAAAAGTTTTACTCTGTAACCTTATTTGTAAGAAAAACATGCATAATTTGAAACAGCCTGAATATCTAACGGTGGTAAAGTATGCTATGTTCATGCAATGATACTTATAAAGTTTTATAGTTGAGTGGCAGTGTCTATAATTAAGGTAACCCAAACCAAGCCAGGCTTACAACGGCATTTTCCACGTGTGAGTGTGATGCTGCCAGGCTCCTTGCACGCTGCCAGCTCAGGCTCTGTGTGAGGCACGTTCACTCTCTAAGCCAGGTGCCGGGGATCACACTCCTTGGACATTTTCTGTGCGGAGAGTAGATAACTTTCTAGAATCTCTCTCAACTACCACGGAGACCAGTTGCTGTTGATCTGATCAAATTCATGGTGACCCCTATGTGTGACAGTAGAACTATATTTACAGTGCTTTCCATGGCTGATTTTTTGGATGTAGATCACCAAGTCTTTCTTTGGAGGTTAGGCTGGGTTCTCTAGGAAAGCCAAATCAGTGGTGTTAAATTTATGTTAAGAAAATGGCTCACACAATTGTAGAACTGGGAGGGTTCAGTCTGATTCAAGTCCATGGGTCAGAGGGTAAGCTGGAGGCCTCTCCTATGCGGGGTGCTGACAAGCCAGAAAGCAGGAAGACAACCCAGGAAGACCACACATGGTAGGTGTGGAGGCAGATGGACCCAAAGCCAGCAGGTAGGTTGCTGATGGCTCCCAGGGTCGGCAGGCAATATGGAGGGCCATTGGCTCATGTCCAAAGAACTGAAGGTCAATGAGCCAGATGGAGGGTCCAAAGAAACTCCCCAAAGTGGCTACTTTCATAGGAAGTAGGCCACACCCCCATCCGGGCAGTGAACAGAGAAAAGGGGTTGCATTCCACCTTAATGTTCTTAGAACACATTGGCTACTCACCGCAGATCCCACTGCGGAGTTGACTACACTGTATTAGGTAACATCAAGGGGAAATTATTAGACCTTGCCTGCCAAACCACTGAGAATCCTGGCTGAGTCAAGTTGACACAAACGTAACTATCCCACTCTGGATGGGCGTGAATGAAGCTCCAAACTGTTGGTTAGCAACGGAGTGTGCTGACCTCCAAAGAAAGACTTGGTGATCTCATCTAAACCAAACCCACTGCCACCCAGTCAAGCGGATCCCTCCTTTGATAAGCGGTCAATTCAAGCCTGGTGGAACCTGGTTTTATCTGACTCCATGCCCTAAGACTTTAACCATTAGCATACCACCAAGGTGTCAAAATGTTAATGATTGTTTGTTACCAACTGAGTAATGAGATTCTGGTGGTTTCTTTGTCTTCTTTACAATTGTCTTTACTTTGTGAAGTGCAGAGTGGTTGGTATATTCCAACTGTCGACCTGATTCATCACCCAGTATGCCACCAGGCCTCCTTCCAAGCCTCACTAGTGGCCAAAGGTAAATGAAAATCACGTCTAGTCCACAGTTCAGCAGCAGCCACATCAGTGGAGAGTTTGGTGGAAAAGAAAGTCTTGGTCTCAACCCAGACTGAGCCAGAATCTACATTTCAACAAGTCTGGTCCCACGAGAAGCACTAGTATAGAGCATGATTCCCCAGGGAATGTCTTCTCATGTTGAGGGCTAGTTAGCCACCAACTCTACCTTCCCCTGCTCTGCTAGCAAACCCCTCATTTTCAGCTGGCCAAGTGGCCATCCAGAATAGCAGTGATATTCCCCAGCCTGCCTTGTGGTTGGCCATGGCCACTGGTGACAGTCTGGCCAAAGGGCTACGGATGGAAGTGAAGAGTATTCTTTCTGGATTGTGCCACTTGTGTCCTCCAGGTGGTTTCCAATCTCTGCTGGTTGGAAAATAGCAACAACTTCATCAGCCAATTTGGACCCATGGCTGGAGGCCACAGCAAAATCTCCCCACCCCCCTGGACCTGTTCGATGAGAGCAAGCTAGCAAGCGGCTTAGGCTGCTTCCAAACTGACTCGTATGATCCAAGGAGCAAGAAGCAATGGATGGAATGATACATAATAAAATTTTAAAGTTTTAAATATGTATAGTTAATGCAACTAAATCAAAGAAGAAATGATGCCCTCCAGCTTGTTACCATCGATTCCTACAAGGGGTGGGGTGGTGGATAAATTAAAATTAGGCACTGAGGGGGAAAGCTATCAAACAGCACCTCAAGTTTTAGTCTTCCTGAGTCTCCAGATGACTGGGAGAAGTAGGATGACCCTCACTTTGTAAGTAAAGGCCCAACAGAGTCAGAATCCTCAGAGCAGGATTCCTCACCCTAATGACACCACACACACACACACACACACACACACACACACACACACAGAGGCTTCCACATGGAAGGTGTCTCCTCCTTCACGCCCTCTCTCTGCTGAGGGGAGGCTGGTGCTCCAGGTAGGAAGGCAGGTCAGGCACAGATTAGAGCTAGATAGATGCTAGAGCATCTTGCAGGTGCTTTATTTCCCACTCCCCTCTCTGGACTCAAAGGGCAAAGCAGTGGATGTGAGAAGGCCACAGAGCTCTTGAAGGGTATGCTCATCTGCCTACTGGTAAAATGGCATCAAGGGTCCCCAGCGATACAAGATGGGAAACTTGGGCATTTGGTGATGAGGACAGGGGCAGCCGGGCAGTAGGAGGTAGCCTTTCTCCTCCTCTGTAGCAGGCTGGCTCTGGGGCTCCAGGAGGCAAGGGAAGTCTGCATTCTGCTGCAGCCGCCTGGGATCATCCTGGGCCAGGTGCCGAGTTTCTGGCGCTGGGTACGTGCAATGGCACACCCTGGTGCATTGGTTCTGGTCCTCTGCGGGGGCAGCACCGTCTGGTGGTGGGAAGAAGCCGGGTTGCCCCAGATCTTTGGCGGTCATGTGGATTCTTCTGAAGGCAGGGTACCCATCCGCCAGTTTGGGGTGGGTGTTGGGGACGGCCCTATAAAACTCTTTGGCCCGGAGTTGAGAATCGAGCTTCGCCTGCTGGGGAACCAAATCAAGCATGAATGGAGGGCTGAGAAAGGAGCAAACAATGTAGTTTCCTTGCAAGTACCCAGGACAGAGCATACTTGAAATTCAAAATACGTACAAATGTGCTTGACACTGTTGATGTATGGATCGTTATGAGAGCTGTAAGAGCCTCCCAGTAAAATGATTTTTAAAAGAAATTAATAAATAATTAATTTTTGAATGGTAACATATACCATTTTGCATTTAATATGATGCCAAAAAAAATGTTCAGGGTGAAAAGTCAGGCTCTTTCCCACCTTCCTCCTCCCGCCATTCCCTTATCAGAGGCAACCATGGTGACTGGTATTTTGCGTATCTTTCTGGAAATAGTTTGTGTGCAGCTAACCATACACCTGTATGTCCTCCATCCCCATTTGCACACAGACGATGCCGAATGCATTTGGGGTCTGTAATTGGTTGCATTCCGTAAGCGATCTGGGAAAGGACGCCGTGGCGGGTTTCTCATCGTGGCGGGCAGACTTCAGAACGGAACCAGAGTTCTTAACCAAGACTTAGAATGGGCAAACGATCCGGAAAACCACTGGTAGAGCCAATTCAATTACTTCTGTCCACCCAAGGCCAAGTGAAAGGAGATTGGAGAAGGGTTTTGCCCATGGACATGCAACTAACAAAAGAAGGGTGGCGGAAATATTGAAAGACCTTGCCTAAAAAAATAAAAAATAAATAGAGACCTTGCCTAAATGATGGAGAAAAGACATCTCAGTGGAAAGATGGGCCCAGAGCAGGTGCAGCCATTCGACAGAACAACAAACCTCCATCCAAGATAAAAAGATGCAAATGAAAATTAGTCAAATCTGTTGGACAGGGCAAGATATGACAAAATAATAATTTATAAATTATCAAAGGTTCATGACGGAAGGGGGCGCAGGGAGGGAGGGGAAAAATGAGGAGCTGATGCCAAGGGCTTAAGTGGAGAGCAAATATTTTGAGAATGATGAGGGCAATGAATGTACAAATGTGCTTTACACAATTAATGCATGTATGGATTGTGATAAGAGTCGTATGAGCCCCTAATAAAATGATTAAAAAAAAGAAAATTAGTCAAATCAAAATGATGACAATAGGAAGATATTATTTCACACCCACCAAATTGACAACAGTTTAAAAATTGGATAATACCAAATAATGGCAAAATCATCGAAGGGCAGGTGTGAGCATCTATTGCAGGTGATAATGTAAACTGGTACAATCTCTAGACAATCGGGTTGTTGTCTACTCCCTATAGCAAGCAATTCCACTCCACCCTGAGGGTAATGCTCACACATTAAGATGTGCCCTATACTCAGTGCAGCCGCCGGGAGAAGGTGGGATAAGGGGAAAAGCAAATAACACAAATGTCCATCAACAGCAGGCCTAGATATATTGAGGCATATTTGTGCAATGTACTACACGCCCCAGCGGAAGCATGACTGTCCCAGGAATGTTCAGCAAGAACTGAAAGTCACCGAAGCATAGAGACAGTAGGACCCTGTTGATAATGACGTTCAACACAAGTTAAACAAGGCAACTTGTTTGAAGGTGTGTGTGTGGCATTTTTAAAAAGCAAGGGGACAATTAACCCCAAACTCAGGAGAGCAGCTCCCTCCGGAAGTTGGTGCGCACAGGATCAGAGGGGACACCTAGGGGCTGTGAGATCAGAAGCGGACTGATAGGAGGCACATTGGTGCTTGTTTTATCATTGTTATTTAAGATAACAATGAAGATGACTTGTGATGCTTTTTATGAGTGGCATTATCTGATGTACATTTTAAAAATATACACAGCTGCACTCATATACGTGTATACACTAGGAACTCTAAATCACATTTCACGGTGCTGGCTGTTGCCCTGAATAGGTACCCCACCACTGTCCACACTTGTAAATAAAAAATGAAAAGGCATCATTTCAGTGGGGGATGGAAGGCTGGGTGACTTTCCTACCTCCTGCGGCGAGACACCCGAGTATTTGTGCTCCCCATAGGGCTGAAAGTCGATCATGTAGGAGCTCTGGTAGATGTCTAAGTCCACAGGGGCCTGGAGGACAAGGGAGAATACAAAGCAGAGCCGCTGGCTTGTCAGTTCCCACTCAGAGCCATTCCATGGCGTTTCATTGGAGGGTGAAGGATGACCACTGGGCCTGGCCTTCGGAGTCACTCACGATCTGGTCTCTACCCACTTTGCACCTCATCCCCTTGGGGGCCCCCTCCAGGAGCTCTGCATTCCAGTCACGGGCCTTTCTACTCTGCACAGGTGCCCGACCCAGGATCTTCTTGCTCAAAATGCTAGTTGCACTTCTCACCACGCTCACCTCCTGTGTAGACTCACAAAGGCCACAATGAAATGTCCCTCCTCCAGAAGATGACAATCACCCTTTCATTCCGCCCGCCCCCCACCCACCGCAGTCTAATCCTTTCCCCTTAAGGCTTTCGTAACCCATCTAGATGCACTCTGGGTTCCCATACACCTCACGGTACTACATAGTAATGGATTTCACGAAGGATGCTACATCCAAAACTTCTCTTAGGTCATTCTGTAGTTTCATAGCCTGGCACACTGGGAGTGCCTAATAAATGCACAGTGAAGAAATAAATCAAACCCCAGAAAATTGTAAACATTTACCCTTGTCTGCTTATTGCAAAATAATGACCCAAGGGAGCCCCAAAGAGCCTGCCCTGCCCTGGGGCTACATGCTGAGACTGCCTGGGGCTGAGCTGTCACAGGGCCCAGAAACCCACAGTACTCACCTGTGTGGGGTACACCGTGCGTGCCATGGTAGCAGACCTAGACGGAGACAAGGTGGTTAGCCCTCCTCTGCCACTCCACAGGCAGCGAAGAGAACCACTGTCCCCTCACTTTGCTGGCCCTCTCTGAGCGCCCATTCCGCCCCACCTCTCCAGCTCCCACCCTGCACGTTACCTCCTCATCCAGGCCCTGAGACAAGGGGTTGGAACAAGGTTCTGATGCTGTGTAGGGCATCAGATAGACCCGTCTAGCAGAGGCCAATCTTATAGTGAGGCACGTGACATTGGGGGGAATAAGCCCTGATTCACACTATCTGTTAAGTCCTGTGGTGTAAATAAATCCTCTGGCATGGCCCATTTCAAGCTATCTACATAACGTCCCCGATGCTGAGTCTCAAAGATGTGCACAGAAGGGGTTCTCGGGAGCCATGTGTGCAGGCCCAGCACACAGGACGCACTAAGCCACAGTTCTGAGCCACCTGGAGGAAGTGAGGGTCAAGCCGAGGCATCGGAAGCACCCTGGTTCAGAGGCACAAAGCTTGCTTTTAGACCCCCTCTTGCATGCATAGAACCCTGTTTTTGATGAGTACTCCAACTCCTTCCCATAAAACCCTTCCCTGAGCCTACTCTGTTTTGTAGGAAGTGCCCCGGTAAGGGGGTTGCCAGACCTCACCCAGTCATCTCTGCACCCTGCTTCTTGTGACAGCTACTCTTTTTAGACTGGGGACAAGTGTCAGGGCGGACAGGTCCTACCTACCCTTCCTTCTGCCCAGGAGCAACGATGCTTCTTCTGTTCTCCCAAATCTAGATGCCCCTGTTGCACAGAGAGGCCTCAGCGGCACTCACCACCACAGCTGTCTGAGATGACCACCATGCCGGCTGTTGGGGTCACATGGCCTGGCTTATTGTGATGTGGGTGCTGGTCCACCCTCCTCAGAGGTCCCCTGCCTGTGACTCACCCTCTCCCAGCACCCAAGGCAACATGAGCTCTGGCAGCATTGGGAGGTACCCAAGAGGTAGGTGCTCTTCAGAATCAACCTATTTTCAGGTGAAGGAGGTCAATGGATCTCAATTGACATCCAACTGTGTGGCTGAAACCATCTCCTGCTGTGTCATCTGCACTGCTGGGTTACAGCTGGGTCCTCCCTCCTCCACTTATTCGAAGTCCACCATCTCAGGCCCATCTCCTCCACCTGGCTTCCCCTAAGCACCTGTTACACAGAGGAGGCACTTCCACTCAACCAAATATGGGGTTGCCATGAGGAATGATGTCCCCCAGTGTGAGATGTCATAGTGTTGCATGCACCGCCCTGTGGGGCACATTCTCCCAGCCCCCTCCAGAGTGGCCTGACTGCCTGATCCCCAGTGAGGGCTGATCCACATCTTGCCCATCCTGACCCCACTGCAGCACCCCACAGCTCCTACCTTTCTCCTAACAGTCAAGGTGGACACCCTCCTCTTTGCCCAGCAATGGGCATCCCATGGTAGGTGCCACGACACACCACCCACACCCTGACTGGTGGGTGACAGGGCAGGGGCAGGACAGGTCACCGTACTGGGTGACATCATGATGCCTGCTGGCATTGATGCTGCCATGGCTACAGGGTCATTTTGGTGTCACACACCCCCCCTCCATGAAAAGGCAAAAATGCCCATACTCACCATGTCTAGTCATCACAGTACCGGAAGTGCTAGCAAGACCATTTGGACAAGTGTTGATAGGAATGTGGAGAAATTAGAACCCTGATCCATTGCTGATGGGAAGGTAAAATGTTGGCGCTGCTGGGGAAAAGAGGTTGGCAGTTCTTCAACGAGTTCCCCACAGAATGCCCATACGACCCAGCCCAAGTGTCTAAAAACAGATAAACAAAATGTGCCAGACACAGAGAGTGTGATATTAGGTCACCATTAGAGGCACGCAGTTCTGGTGCATATGTGACGTCTCAGAGGCTAAGAGAAAAAAGCTGGATGTAAGAGGAGACCTCCTGTCTGAGTCCATTGCCACGAGCAATCCAGAGTAGGCCAGCCCATAGAGGCAGCAGGCGGAAGAGAAATGATCGGGGCTGCGAGGCGGCGAGTGAATGTACCTTGGATGTAGATTCGGGATGTTTGAAGAAGATCTGGGAAGGGTGGTGACACACATGTGAATGTGCTGCCTTTAGCACACTGACCGCATCACCGAACACGCCCGAAACAAACTCACCGCAGCCGAGTCGATTCCGACTCCGAGCGACCCTCCCTCTAGGACAGAGTAGAGCTGTCCCTCTGGGTTTCCAAGATGGGAGTAGAAAGCCTCATCTTTCTCACAAGAGTGGCTGGTGGTTTCGATCTGCTGACTTTGCAGTTAGCAGCCCAACAGGTTACCACTGCGCCACGTTCAAAATGATACGTTTTGTTACATAGAATCTACCATCGTTTTCGAAGAGCGGAAGGCAGTGGGGAGCTGGGGCCTTGGGAGTAGGCTCTAATACATTACCACATGTTGAGGAGATTAAGACAATTCCACTCCCCACCACACACACACCAGATCTGTGGTTATTTCTCACCAAATCCTGCTCCGATAGCTTCAACTCCCCATGGCCCTCACTGTCCTTCCCTCTCACTCCCTCTCCCTTTTTCAAGGCCCGTAGTGCGCAAGATTATAGACGACAGCCTCCAGTATGGATTACACCCCTCAGCATAAAGAAAACAAACATCCTCGCAATCAGACCCGTACGCAACAGCGGGACAGACAAAGAAAGAGTTGAAGTGGTCGAGGATTTCATTTTACTCCGGTTCACAGTCAACACTCACGACAGCAGGAGTTAAAAAATGAAACGCGTCAGGGTGCGTAAAGGGGAGCTGACGTCAAGGAGTTCAAGAAGGAAGAGAACGCCTCGAAACGGATTGTGGTAGCCATTGGACAATACCGCTTGGTGTGATTGAACTATGGAATGGTGTGATATCTGTATTAGCTCCCAGTAAAATGGTTTTGGAAAATAAGCAAGCAAACAAACAAATAAAATGAGCGCTGGGCAGATCTGCTGCCAAGGACCTCTTTAGTGTGTCAGGAAGCAGAGACATCGCTTTGAAGACTCATGGGAAGGCTGAACAAAGAATTGGGTAGACCAGAGAAGAATGAATGCCTTTGAAGGACGCCGCCGTTCTTGGTGCTGTACATAGGGACTGTGCCAATCCATTCCATCCAGAGCCGTCCTTTCTGCCTTTCGTTTTTGCTGACAAGCATGAGGTCCTTTTCCCAGCGACTAGTTTCTCCCAATAGCACGCCCTCCTCCCTTCTGAAGCCGATGGTGGCTGTGTTTCTTCCAGGACAGATGTGTTTGTTCTTCCAGCAGTCCCTGGCATGTACTCAATATTCTTTTCCAAGACCTTAATTCAAATGCATTCATTCTTCTCCGTTTTGTTTTGTTTTTTAATTCATCGACTAGCTTTCACATACATGTGCGGTAACTGAAAAGATCCTGGCTTGGGGGCCAGGTGCCCCTTTGTCCCCCGCAATGTGACATCTCTGCCCTTCAGCACCTCAAACTGGTCTCATGCAGCAGAGTGCGCAATGCATAGTGCGGATTTCCTGACTTCTGCTTCCAATGAGCATGAATTGTGGATCCAAATAAAATGAAATCCTTGACAACTTTGATCTTTTCTCCTTTGATCATGATGTTTTTCAGTCCAGGTGCAAGGATTTGGGCTTTCTTTATGTTGAGATGTAACCCGTCCCGAAGACTGCGGTCTGATCTTCACCAACAAGAGCCTGAAGTGCTCTTTGAGTTCCACAAGCAATGGCGTTATCTGCACGTCGAAGGTTGTTCGTGACTCGTCCTCCAATCCTGATGCCACATGCTTCTTCATATAGTCTAGCTCGCTCTGTCTCCCACAGCAGTCTCTACTACTCAGCTGGGTTCAATAATTCATTGCAATGGCCATGCAGAACTCACAGACGATACAGTTATAAGGTCTATTAAGGAAATTAACAAGTTACAGTTCAGAAGAAATGTTCAGGATACAATTGTTCAATTAGGACTTTCTGTGCCAGGCTAGAGTCTGGCCCTCTCTCTCTAGGCCTCACCTCTGCCTGGCTCAGGCAATATGACAAAGTGCTTATAGAGTTGCCAGTGAATACCCCAAGGGCATGCTACTCCCCTGTAAAGTTCAACCCAAAAGCTCCAGCTCCATGGTTCAGCAAAACCCAGCTCCCTTGATTAAGTCCAGAGACTCCCCAATCCTCAAGTTAGCCTCCCCCAAAGCACCGGCTTCCCTGGGTCTGTGGGCTGGGAAATCTTCTCTCTTGTTTTATTCTCTGGCTTCTGCTTTGCTGTTGCTGCTGATATTCTGCCACTCCTCTGGGGTCACAGTTTTCTCCTGGATCAAGGAGTACCTGGATCCCTGATTTCCTGCTCAGAGATTTTGGGGTCCAAAGAATAAATTCCACTCCTGGCTCTTGCAGGGTAGTGAAATCCTCTCTTCTGCTTCTGAGATGATTCATTTTATATCCGGCAGAATACATGGCAATCACAGTGAACCCTGTTAACAATCTGAGATGTAGTCAATTACCTAATATCACCCCTACAGCCATATTCTCCTTTGCCATTGTGACAGTTAGGTTTATTGTGCCAACTAGGCCAATAGGTATATGTGGGGGGAGTTTAATCAGGTCACAGTTTGATTGGAGGATGACCAAAATAAATAAAGACAGCCAGCATCCCAGCTTTCTCTTGCTCCCTTGTGATTGGACCAGCATCTGCTGCTTTCGCTAGTTCTCTGCCTCTGTTTCAAACTGTGTGCGACACTACCCATGGGCGAAGCCAACCCATGGATCTGTTGCTAGAGCTTGAGGTTCCTTCGAGACCTGCTTCACCATGCTGCAGGTGCATACATTGCTTGAGCTTGAGCCTGGCGGATTCTGGCACCTTGCATTGCTTGAGTTAGATATCCCATCGGGGCCTGCTTTGATAAGGTCCTGAGCTGCTGACTGTTGCTGACCCACCTTGCTGTGTGCTGCCTGCAGGCAGACTCCGCCTGCCTTGCCTGAG